GTTTCCTTTTGTACCGGCAACGAGACTCGGACTGACAAAAAAATAGATGTTTGCTTGTTGTAGATTGTATGGAAAGGGGGAAAGTTAATCACCGCGACCTTATAAATCTATTGTGTGCTCCTTTCATGAATTGTAACTCATCAGACAGTCTCAAGCCAGTATTTGAGACGGTTTTACAGGGGTTAATTCTCTATCTCCGATATCAGTCGTACCGAAGTTTATGGTAGGAATGGTTGTCGTCTTGGCACACTCAGTGATGACGTGTTCTGGTGTTTTCCCATTATCTTCACAGAATCTGCATTCGCCGTTGTTTCTTAGCTTCAATCTACTAAGAGAAAGCGTGAGTGTTCATTGAGGGGACAGTGTCCTGTTAAAAACCCCGTGAAAATCCGGGGATGGTTCTTATTTAAATGAAGGAAAATCTCTTTAGATATTAACAATTATTAAACAACGAACTTTCTCATGTATAGCTTTTATCGTTAATAGAAAAAATAAAAATATTGTGTAGGAAAAACAAAATGGGGTTCCATATTACCACCCCCTCCTCTACAATCTACATTGTGTATCAAAATAAAACAGGAAGAAATATATTAAAATAATAAATTTTCAACTTGTCCAAAACAAACTGCGGAAAAGGCGAATAACAAAAATAAAAAAGTGACTAGTCGAGCGTTTCCTACAGCTAAAAAAAGTACAAAAAAGAATATAACCACACAGAAAAATATTCGTTTTTAACTAGACATTCGAAATGAATAGGAACGGCGGGAAACAGGTCCGTAATAGTCTGACTCTTCGCCCCCTCGTAGTCGTTCTGCAAAGTTTCTCGCTAAAAAGGTCGCTTTTTTCAGGTATACGTCCTCAATTCCGCGCGCCCGCTATTCCCGCTTGGCAATGATTAATGTCGCGGAAGGGGGAGAAAAAAAGTCCCGCAGGAATGCCGGCCATTGTTGGGGTGGATAGGGACACAAAGGGGAGAAGGGGGGAGAGGCGCATTGTTTCTGTAGTGCTCCCAGGAAATTTACGCGGCTCGCGTAATAAAAACGGCGGAAAAGTTTCCTTTTGTACCGGCAACGAGAATCGGACTGACAAAAAAATAGATTTTTGCATGTTGTAGATTGAATGGGAGGGGGGAAGTTAATCACCGTGACCTTATAGATCTATTGTGTCCTCCTTTTATGAGTTGTAACTCATTATACAGTCTCAGGGCTCTGGCAAATGTCAGTATCTGAGACGGTTTTATAGGGGTTAGTTCTCCATATCCGATATCAGTCGTACCGAAGTTTATGGTACGAATGGTTGTCGTCTCGGCGCTCTCAGTGATGAGGTGTTCTGGTGTTTCCCCATTTTCCTCACAGAACCTGCATTTGCTGTTCTTTCTTAGCTTCAATCTACTGAGGTGTTTTTTGAGGAGAGATTGTCCTGTTAACAACTCCGCGACTATCCGGAGATTGTTCTTATTTAAATCAAGGAAAATCTTTGATTTTTCTCGGTCGTAAGTCCTGAGATATTTCTTCGAGTGTCTTAGACCGTTGGTGGATTCTCACTCTAATTCAAATCTCCACAAAAAATTTGTACCCCTTGCAAAAAAGTTATAAAATAAACAAAAAATTGTCTAATTTTTAATTTACCATATAAAATTAGTTCGAACTACTGTCACTTTTTCTAATTTAAACGTAGAGTAGTCGAAACAATTTAGCATCTGTGGCGCAGCGATAAATCAAAGAAAAATGCGAGAATAAAGCGTAAAAAAGTGGCCGTGTCTGCAGCTACGGCCCCGTAAATACCGGGAAAGAATTAAGCGTCCGGCCGGCTCGGCCCGATTATAAATATCTAAGCTAATTGTTTTAAATTTGGCCGGAGAGGAACAGGATTCCGACATCTTGGTTTTAGTGGCGCGTTGCGCAGACCCTGGCCGGCTATTAAGATGAATAATGTCCGCGGCCTAAGCTCGCCAGGCTTAAAGTAAACATTAATATTGCGGCATTTCCGTATGATCGATTAGATTTGCATTGGAGTGGACCTTAAAAGCCCGTTTAAACGCAGGTTATAGTTTATGTCAAATTATATTACCTATGTGGCCGGCCGTAGCGCTAGTGCGTCGATCTGCGGTGCAACAGATGGGACGGTACTGGGTTCGATCCTCAGCCAGTACGGTCGCTTTATTTATTTAAATAAAAATATTTATTTATCTAAATAGAGCGACCAGCGAGCCGCCACCCCAAGGAAGGCAATGGCAAACCACCTTGAGTATATTTGCCTTGTACAGCCTCTCAAATAGTGCCGTTCGGATTCGGCGATAAACTGTAGGCCCCGTGTACTTGTGAAACACATCACAGGTACATGCGAGAGGTAGCCGACACTCTGTGTAGAGTATGGCATTGTAAGAAGAAGATATTACCTATCCCCAAAGCTGTTTATCTAGCAACACTAGAAAAAACAATCAGTCAACTAGGCTGTACCAACAAAGGATTGTCATAATTGTCAATAGTCCTAAAGAACTACAAGCACAAATTAACCAACTAAATACAGCCAGCAATAAAGTAGGTCTCAAAATGAATTTAGCAAAAACTAAAGTAGGTATCGGTTTGGAGTAGTAGTTAGTAGTAGACAGAAAAAAAGACATTCTAATAAATAACACACACTGGAAATAGTGGAAGAATATAAATATACAGGGTGCTACAAATTCGAGGTACGAGCATTGGTATCTCGGAAAGCGTAAGAGATACGAAGATGATTAAATTGGGGCAAAGTTGCGCTTTAGGATGTTCACCCAGATACCATCAAAAAAGTTTTAAAAATTTCAAGGATTGCTGAGTTTTTTGGAAAAAACAGATTTTTTTGAAAATCAATTTTATTTTTTCCTGGCGTTACTTTTTAGAAAATCAAAAAACTAATTGCACATTCTCATGGCTACTTTATTAGGGCTACCTGATTATTTTTAGATTTTCAAATTAGCTGATAATTTGTGAGATGCAGAGGTCAACTTAATTTTTTTTAAATACGGACCTGCATTTTTTATTTGAAGTTTTGAAAGAACTCGATCTCCTGAATAAAATGATATGCCACACTTAATATTTTTTGTTTCTGACATTTGAACAAAATTTAATTAAACTAATTTCAAGTCCGGCTCTGTTTTTTTTTAATATTTAATCTATTCATCGTTACAATATTGGTAAGCTTTCAAACTTAACAATGACGTGGAGTAAAACCTTAAATACGGATAATCAAATGCAATTAAATAATAAAAAATAATATAAAATTATTGGGCATTACTTGATGTCATTTTTAAAAGTGACAATACATTTCAACATTACAATAAAGAGTACAGAATGCATTCGGAAGTATAAGAAGATGTTCAAAGAGCTATAAATAAGATTGAACGAAAAATACATTAATTTGTGCATTAGGGTATAGTATATTAGGGACGGTGGTAACCCTTTCGAACGTGTAGAGCATTACTAGTTTTAGAAACTAGTTTGTAGAAGTTGACTTATTTATAATAACTACGATTAATATTATGCATATTATTAGATCGTACACTGAGATTTCAAAATAAAAAATGTATAAATTATATTTTTAAATTGCTGACACCTGGGTATTATTTGTTTGAATCGTTCAATTGGCTCGATTCGATGTTAATTAGCGCTGATCCATATTGGTGCGATGAATATAATCAGATTAAATAATTTAAAAAACCAGAGTGGGACTTGAAATTATTTTAAATAATAATTAAATAGTTTTGTTATTGTTAAGATACCTAAAACAAAATAAAGCATCAAGTGTGGCATATCATTGTACTCAGGAGATCGAGTTCTTTCAAAACTGCAAATAAAAAATGCAGGTCCGTATTTAAAAAAATTAAGTTGGTCTTTGTATCTCACAAATTATCAGCTAATTTGAAAATCTAAAAATACTATTAGATAGCCCTAATAAAGTAGCCATGAGAATGTGCAAATAGTTTTTTGATTTTCTAAAAAGTAACGCCAGGAAAAAATAAAATTGATTTTCAAAAAAATCCGTTTTTTTTTTTAAAACTCAGCAATCCTTGAAATTTTTAAAACTTTTTTGATGGCATCTTGGTGAACATCCTAAAGTGCAACTTCGCCCCAATTTAACCATCTTCATATCTCTTACGGTTTCCGAGATACCAATGCTCGTACCTCGAATTTGTAGCACCCTGTATATTCGGAACAACTAATACACAGCTCGGGATCTCTACTGCCAGAAATCAACAGAAGAATTAAGTTAACATGAAGTACTTATGAAAAAAACTCAGTTATTATATTTAAATCTAGAATGCCACTTTATCTAAAGAAGAAAACATTCGATCAATGTGTACTATCAGTCCTATGATGCATAACCTATGCATGCGAAACCTGGACACTTTAAACGGGCATTTTAAAGAAACTGCAGGTCGCACAACGCTCAATGGAACGAAATATGCTGGGAATAAGCAAGAAAGACCGTAAGAGAATAGCCTGGATACGACAAAAGACCCAGGTAATACATGTCATCCACAGAATCCAATCCCTCAAGTGGCAATAGGCAAGATACCTGGCAAGAAGGACGGACAACACATGAACCACAAAAATTAGAGCATGGTACCCACGAGGAATTAAGAGACCTAGAAGAAGGTCAAACTTGAGATGGGACCATGGTATTAGAAAATTAGCAGGAATAACTTGGGCTCGCAATAGATAACAACAATAGACAACAAAGGCAACAATAGACAACAATAGGCCTAACTACAAAGAGAGTATCTAAACATGTGAGGAAGGCTACACCATAACTGGAAATGGTCGAATAAGCTGAGAATGATGATACAAACACGCACACCCAAATGGAACACCCTGTACTAAATAACTGAATATTACGAAACAAGTATTTCAAAAAAACAATAAAAAAAATATTGTACTCTGAAAACGTTTTAAAGTAAGTATACTTAACTAATTACATAGTACCAGTTGCATTTATAATAAAGAATAATTTAATTTTCTCACCTGGGTCTGGATATCTGAAATTCCTGGCCAAATGACACAGTTGTAGGGGTAAATAACGGGTATCTGCTCTTTGGGGGAACCTTACCACTGGTGGGGCACCAGACAAGAACCCTCTTTGAAGTTCCCAACCCACTTCAGATATGATGCTGGCTTTTCGAAAGTAAGGCGTCACTTCTCGTAGGTATTTTACTGAAAAAAAGAAATAAAAAGATTAGATATGAAGACAGAGCTCATAATTTAAATAAACTTGTTATACAGGGTGGTCTGAACTGTGTTCCGGAAACTTCGGCAGCATATTCTGCAGATAGAAACAAGTAAAAAAGTTTATACATATTTAATAAAAATATAATAATTTTTAAAGTTGGTATCTAGGTGTTTTTTTACATGATAAATTTGATTTTGATGTTAATATAACTCCTAATTGTTGGAGGCACCACCTGCACTGTTTTAACTGTTCTAAAGAGTAACAACTTTTCGTCCGTACCTGTATAAAACTACTGAATGAAAAAAATATACATTTCCGTCATTTTTCACGTAAAAAATGTCTCTTAGTAAAAATCGCTACGAGCAAGTTTATACAAGCAATATGTATAAAATGTTCTAAAATGCTTCGTTTCGGAGATACAGGGTGTTGAATTTTTATTTCGTTTTTTTTCCAAATTATTTCCTTGCTATATTAGATATTTTGATAAAAGTGGGTATCTGGGTGTTTTTTTTACATGAGAAATTTGATTTTGATGTTAATATGACTCCTAATTGTTGGAAGTGCCACCTGCAGTGTTTTAACTATTTTAAAGAGTAACAACTTTTCGTCCGTACCCGTATAAAACTACTGAATGAAAAAATATATACATTTCCGTCAGTTTTCACGTAAAAATCACGTTGGGTCTCTTAGTAAAAACCGCTACGAGCAGCAGTTCAAGATATTTAGAATGGAAATAGTCAATATATGTCATTATTGACAAAAAATAAACATGTTGGGTAGATAGTTATTTGGTGAAATTATATATTTAGGAACTTTCTATTTTTTTAATTAATCATATTTTTTTCGCAAAAATTATGATTAAACAGATTGTGTTGAACTTTTGGCACAAAAACATATTAATTTATGATTTCAGTCTAATAATTATTTAGGATAATCTACTCTCTACAAGTAAGTCATATTGACATTAAAATCAAATTTGTCATGTCAAAAAAACCAGACCCCACTTTTCATCCAATAATCGATGTTAGTTTTCAAAAATTATTTGGAAAAAATCATAATAAAAATGAAGGGTATCTCCGAAACTAAGCATTTTAGGACATATATATATACGAACTTTTTTTACCTATTTTTACCTGCAAAATATGCTGCCAAAGTTTCCCGAATTCAATTCGGACTACCCTGTATACAGGAAATATAACCAGAAGTCCTCTTTCATGTTTTATTCGTATTTGGAAAAACTAATATCTTTTGGGGATTTGCCCCGTTTGAAAGTAAACATATAAAAAATAACTGAAAGCTCTTTTTAGTAAAGCCCTTTAAGAAGATCTTAAATATTTATATCTCCTCTTAAACCATGTTTATAGACGTATTTCCTAGGGATTACCTGCTAACTTTGGGTTTTATCGAAAAACATTATTTATTAGTCGTAAAAAGGCATTTATCGATGTCAACGTTATTTTCGAAATAACAAAAACAGCAGTTCTATATCTGTTTATAGGCTATCAATATTCTGAATTTAAAATAATCTAAGCCTAGACGCACACAGACAGAGCAAACAGTTTTAGGCAAAAACGCTTTTGACTAAATGTGTTTTCATGTGATGCTTCAATGCAAATCAAATAGGCTAACGCACTCTGATCAGCCGCCTTAAGAACAGCGCCACCTTACAAATCTACTGTGTGTCCCCCTTTCTTGAGTTATAATTCATCATACAGTCTCAGGGCTTTAACGAAAGCCAGTATCTGAGACTGTCTCACAGAGGTTAGATCTTGATCTTCGATATCTGTCGTACCAAAATTGGTTGTCGTCTCGACGCACTCACTGATCAGGTGTTCTGGTGTTTCTCCATTTTTGCCACAGAATCTGCATTCGCCGTTGTTTCTTAAGGCGCATTGTCACGACTCGTGTACTTGACAAACATTTGTTATTGGAATATACTCGCCATGTCGTGAGAACGGTTTCCTTGGTCACTTGTCGCGTTCCCACTCTTTGTCGGTAAACATAGCCCGAGTCAAAGGATCACAATTATTCGTACACTTGCCAAGTGTAGACTTGACCAGCCTTGGCTATACTTGCCGAGGCGCAAAAAAACGACTGCGTAAATAATTGTACTGTTATAGCGTATGTCCCGTTTATTTCCGGATCGTAGTGCTTTTCGAGTTAATTGCGAATAATTTAAAACGTTAAAACAATAATAGATTATATAATATCAAATTTACATTAATAACTTCAATATTGGCGACATACCTAAATCGTTCTTTCAGCAATAAATGGGGTGGACAAATGAAGACTACACGGGAAAAAACAGATATGTCACATTTTTATAGAAATTAAGATAGCGATACAACTTTATAGGCAAATGTCAGCGTCATTCGAGAAAAAAAAATGCAATAATACTCTTCGTCCCAGATATAACAGCTTGGTTATTTTGTCGTACCAGGAGAAAACCAGAATAGTTCATGCCTAAATGGTAAAAACCAGAGATGTTGTCTTACACATGGGCGACAAGCATACATCTTGCATGCATGCAATTATATACAAGCATGCAATTAGCAGGGCCGGATATCCGCCTAGGCCTACAAGGCCCGGGCCTAAGGGCCCGGCCAGCCTAGCAATAATGGCCCCATGCATTGAGTGGCGCGCAACTTTTATATATAAGCTCCAAATTGGCTATGCCATGGGGGCCCCAAATGTCAAATGCCTAGGGGCCCTGGATGTCTAAGTCCGGCACTGGCAATTAGTATTACGTGTAGTAAATTTATGTATTCTAATAAAAACCTACTTAAATATTAATTTTCTTCCTACAACAAAAAAATAATAGTTTAGGTTTAGATTTTATTCAACCTTTAATTGGACATCCCTGGGTTTTCCCCTGTTTTGTTTTGCATTTTTTGATTTCGGTATTTCAGAATATGGCGATAATTAACTATATTAATAATTCAGAATTGGTAGTAATATGTTCTAATTATTCAACCGAAAATAACATATTTCTTTAAAAACACTAGATTGCATTTTTCTAAGCTCTTATTAAAATGGACAAAGCTGGTTTTTTCCGTGTAGTCTTGAAATAATGTTGTTTTGGAACTTATGGATTTATACGAAAATGAGCGCTTCATATGGATGGCCAAACATAAAGAACATAGAAACCGTATTGCAGTGTACAGTAAAAGAACTTAAAAAGAAAAAAGAATCACTAGCAACGACAATTTCAGGACGACCCAGTCGATGCGACTATACTGTTTACTTGCCAAGGATTTAAACAATGTTTGTGCTGGCATACTTGTTGAAATGGATACGTCGGGGATACTTGCCAAGTATGCCAGTATTGGCGTACTTGTCAAGTAGTCGAGTCGTGAGAGTGCGTCTTTAGCTTCAATCTACTGAGGTGTTTATTGAGGAGACAGTCTACTGTTAAAACCCCCGGCAAAAAAACGGCAAATTCCTACTAAACTGTAAAGTTTCTAATTATTATGTCCTTCCACTGATTTCTAATGGTGGTTGTGCTAACTTAACACACGTTACTGTACGCCAGCGGATAACCTTGAAAATGCTTAATTAGAGGTTTTGTCATTGGTGGAAGAACAAGAGTGTTGCGAAGGGTTGCTAAAAGGAGGGGGACTGCGTGAAGACGGGTGTTGTCTTTAATAAATAGGAAATGTCTTGTGTTTGTAATTTGCTTTGTCGGTTGAAATAGCACGAAATGAGGTTCCTTTATTAAATCGACGGTTATATAAGGCATTTGTATACGCTCATAAAGGGAGTGACATTAATAATATACGTATAGGATACAATCAATAGGTCTTGTGAATAAAAGTTAAGCAAATGCTTTTACTTAAATTTCTTGAAATAGACTTACAATATTATTACTTATTTATACAATTTGTAAACAACCAACAAAGATAGTTTTATAGAAAAAGCAATTGGTTCTCTTTATTCATCAGACCCAATATACAGGGTGGTCCGAACTGTATTCCGGAAACTTCGGCAGCATATTCTGCAGATAAAAATAATTAAAAAAGTTTGTATAAATGTATGCCCTAAAATGCTTAGTTTCGGAGATACAGGGTGTAGAAGTTTCATTTTATTTTCATTTTTTCCAAATAATTTCTAAAGTAACGTCAATATTTGGATGAAAAATGATGTCTGGGAGTTTTTTGACATGAGAAAATTATTAATACTTGTCGTCATTGACATAAATTAGACATGTTGACTAAATAGTTATAAAACTAAAATCATAAATTTGAAATGTTTTTGTGTCAAAAGTTCAACAGAAACTTTTTTATCGTCATTTTTCCAAAGAAAAATTTATGATTAATTTAAAAAAATAAATAGTTCCCAAATTTACTATTTCAGTCAAATAACTAGACGGTGCGTCTCAAAAGTGGCTCACCTCTATAACTTTTTTATTTCTTCAGATAAAAAAACGAGATTTGGTTTGTTAGTATATGACATAAATTAGGATTGATTGACGTATTCAATTATTTCTGGTCACTTCCTGTTTCACCGGAAGTGACTACAACTTTTGATTTTTAAATGGCGCCCTCGGTATGTTTCTACTTTATTCGACAGAAAATCTGTGAAAGTGATCTGATTAGAATCACATATCATATGTCAATTTTTGACATTTTCGCATATGATTTATTTGAAATGGTAACATGCGGTTCATAACGACAATTTTACTCGAAATACCAAGTGTGTGGTACCAAATTATTCGTAAAAAAATGCTTTTTCCAAATATGCTAATGAGCCACCCTTGTTCCATATGAAAAAATTCACATATTATTAAAAATACGATTTGGGCATCTTTTAAACATCCATAGGACAAGACATGAAAAACATTAAACGATCAAATCTATTTTTCCAAGGCTTCTTGATTAAAAATTAGTGTTTTTTAACACAGCCATGGCACTTTAGATTGAAATTTAAAATATGATTTTTTTAAGCGAAAATGTCAAAAGTTAACGTATGATATGTCATTCTACTA